TTGACTGCTGTCTGCAGGTTCCAGCATTTGAAGGTGATGATGGATTCTGTGTGTTCGAGAGCAATGCCATTGCCTACTACGGTAACTTGCAGTTGGGTGGTGGATGGGAGGGTCAAGCGAGGGGTGTAGGAGAGGGTGCGGGTGAGCTGGAGTGGAGGAGAGGACTGTTCGGGCACTGGCCTGGTGTTGGTGGACCCCAGGGTTCTGACTTTGTGTCCCGCCTCTGCAGTGAGCAATGAGGACCTGCGGGGAAGTAGTCCAGAAGCAGCAGCCCAGGTGGTGCAGTGGGTGAGCTTTGCTGATAGCGACATAGTGCCCCCGGCCAGTACCTGGGTGTTCCCCACCTTGGGCATCATGCACTACAACAAGCAGGTAAGTCTTGGAACTTGGAAGAAGCCAAAGGCGGGATGGAGTCAGCTCCAGAGGGTCAGGCAGTGAGAAATAAAGGGGGTTGAGAAAGGGGGTGGAGAATGCCAAGAGTGTGTAACAGGCCCTGATCTTCGGGCTGTGAGTTCGGAGCCCTGGGCTGTTGGTGGGTGGTGTCTGAGTTCTTTGTCAGACCCGTGGAGGTGGTCAGAGAAGGGGTTTCTTCTGAAGGAAGGTTAAACGCAATGACGGGAGTGGTTAGACCAGATGACCGCTAAGGTTCCTTCTAACGTGCAAAGACGTGACACAGCTGTGACCAGGACAGTGGGAAATGCAGCCGAAAGGAAAGGAAAGGTGGGAAAGGACATGAGCCAGCCTACGCCGTGAACAAATGTAACATTGCGCTTCGCATGTGACATGTTTGGGCTGATCCTAGACCAGGGGTGGGCAGACTTTTTGACTCGAGGCCCACAGTGGGTTCTTAAACTGGACCGGAGGGCCGGAACAAAAGCATGGATGGAGTGTTTGTGTGAACTAATATAAATTCAAAGTAAACATCATTACATAAACGGGCACGGTCTTTTTTTTTTTTTTTTTTTTTTTTTTTAGTTTTATTCATTTCCAACCGGCCGGATCCGGCCCGAGGGCCGTAGTTTGCCCACGGCTGTCCTAGACTCTGACCCATTGAGAGGGGGGGATGAGTAAGTGAAACAGCTGTCTTAGTTCAGTTATTGGGGGAGGGATTGATAGTCACTGATAAGTTTACTCACTGGATCAACAGGCCACAGAGACCGCAAAGGAGGACATGAGGCGAATTCTGGGGCTGCTGGATGCTCACTTGAAGACGAGGACCTTTCTGGTGGGCGAGCGTGTGACACTGGCTGACATCACAGTTGTCTGCACCCTGTTGTGGCTCTATAAGCAGGTTAGTTTACAGCGAATCAGCTCGGCAGAGGGTGGGTGGGGTTAGAACCAAGTGACAAGTCTCGGGCCGCTCTATCCTGATTGGAGGACTTGGGTGTGAGGGACGCTGAGGGAGCCGCGGGAGTCCCGGTGGGTGCCGGGGCCGCCTGCCTTCCGGCCTTCCGGGAAGCGCAGTGGTCCGTTGCCCTTAGCGTCTGTGTGGCGCTGAGACGGTTCTGATGAAGCCAGTTGTGCTTCGTGGTGAAGGCGGGTGGGGGTGGCAGGCTCAGCATGGAGATCTGGAAGCGGAGCTGGGTTCAGTGCTGGCCGCATTCTGACTAGTTGTAGTAGAGGGTGGGGGTGTGGGCACTCTTTGGTCCTTTTTCTTCCCCTGTAAACATAAACCCAGGGACTAATCCCACAATTGAGGTTATTGGGGCAAAGATGACATGTTGCTGGTCCTAAACAGCAGCTCTCGGACTGATGGGGGTCAGTAGTAATGTGCTGAGAGCAAGGAAAAGCACCTACTTCGCGCCAGACCCCATGCCAAGGCCTTACAGCAGCGGTTCTCAACTTGTGGGTCGTGACCCCTTTGGGGGTCGGATGACCCTTTCACGGGTCACCTAAGACCATCGGAAAACACATATATAATTACATATTGTTTTTGTGATTAATCACTATGCTTTAATTATGTTCAATTTGTAACAATGAATTTGGGGGTCACCACAACATGAGGAACTGTATTGAAGGGTCGCGGCCTTAGGAAGGTTGAGAACCACTGGCTTACAGGGATCGGCTTAGTGTGGCCCGTTGTGGGGGTCATGGTGGAGTAGAATCTGAATCCGAGTCTGTAGAACCAGCACGACAGAGCTGACGCTGCGCCTGTCTCCCCCACGGATCCTGGCAAACTAAAAAGAATGGCACATGAGCCTGCCAGTGTGGCTCAGGGGCTGAGCATTGCCCTATGCACCAGGAGGTCACTGTTCGATTCCCGGTCAGGGCACATGCCCAGGTTGTGGGCTGGATCCCCAGTAGGGGGTGTGCAGGAGGCAGCCGATCAATGATTCTCATCATTGATGTTTCTCTCCCTCTCCCTTTCTCTCTGAAATACAAAAAAAACCCAACATTTAAAAAAAAAAATGGTTAATGAGTTTTTCATGAAGCTGTTTAATTAAAAGGTCTGTCCATTCTTTTTTTTTTTTTAAATATATTTTATTGATTTTTCATAGAGAGGAAGGGAGAGAGATAGAAAGTCAGAAACATCGATGAGAGAGAAACATCGATCAGCCGCCTCCCACACATCTCCCACTGGGGATGTGCCCGCAACCCAGGCACATGCCTCTGACCGGAGTCGAACCCGGGACCTTTCAGTCCGCAGGCCGACGCTCTGTCCACTAAGCCAAACTGGTTTTGGCTGTCCATTATTCTGAAACAAACTTTTTGCTGTTGCATATTTTCTACTTATTTATTTGACAAAATGAGTAATTGATAGCCCTCTGTTGATCCCAACCTTTAAAAAAATTCTATGTTCAACACGTGAAATTTAAAAGATTGGAGACGAGGTGTGAAATGGCTTGGCAAAAGGAGCAAGGCGCCGTACGAATGCTGTTCCTGCGAAATAGATTCTTAGTGAAGGGGAACCAAGCGTCCATTGCGTTGGACTGGATCACCTTAAGGAGATGAGGACGGTGGGTGGGGCGTCGCCCTCCAGGGTGAGTGGGTGTCCAGGCAGCCGCTGTTGGTGAGGGGACGGAGGAGCTCGGGTGTAGGAAGAAGCAAGTCTTGGTCTCTGGCCGGAACCTTCTGGATGGTCCCCCCTCTGACTGTTCCCACCCTCCCGTCCTGGCAGGTCCTGGAGCCGTCTTTCCGCCAGGCCTTCCCCAACACCAACCGCTGGTTCCTCACCTGCATTAACCAGCCCCAGTTCCGCGCTGTCCTGGGGGAGGTGAAGCTCTGTGAGAAGATGGCCCAGTTTGATGGTGAGTCTGAGGAGGCGGGGGGTGAGCCGCCAGGCCGGGCGGGTTTGCTCAGTCCCAGCCCCTGGGCTTCCTGTCTAGCCTGTGGGTGACGTGGGCCCCCGAGTGCAGGGCATCACCTGTGTAGCTGGTGCTTTGTGAACCTTGTCTTCTGCCCGCGCACCTGTCACTGAGGGCCGTGCGCGGGGACGTGGCGCCCGGCGGCCCTGTGGCTGAGCCCGGCTCCCGCGCTGCCGCTTTCCTCCACTGCCCCGCGTGCTGCAGCGGAAAGAGGCCGGGTACTGACTTTTCTCCTTCCTCTGCGCCAGCTAAAAAGTTTGCAGAGAGCCAGCCGAAAAAGGACACCCCTCGGAAGGAGAAGGGACCCCGGGAGGAGAAGCCGAAGCCCCAGGCCGAGCGGAAGGAGGAGAAGAAGGCCGCTGCGCCCGCCGCCGAGGAGGAGATGGACGAGTGTGAGCAGGCGCTGGCGGCGGAGCCCAAGGCCAAGGACCCCTTTGCTCACCTGCCCAAGAGGTGAGGATACGGGGACGTGGGGGGAGCGCTGCATGGGACCCAAGAAGGCCCCTTCTCACCTGAGTGTGTCCTCGCACAGCTTGGGCCCAGAGTTTGAGGTCATTCATACAAAATTAAAGGTGTGTTTTAGTTGGCAAATCAGGTGACTTTCTGAATTTAAGAATTGGGTGAGCTTTGAAAGGAGCAAGTACGATCTAAATGCATCCAGCAGTGGGGACGTTCAGAATCCCCTTTCTCGCAAGCAGGCAGGCAGCAGGCCGGAGTTCGGGGGGTCATTGGTCTCGGGGGTGCTTGTCGGCCTCTGACCCTCAGCTCAGTGAGGAGCGCGCTGCTTGGGTGAATCGGCCTGTGCCTGGTGCTCACAGGGTCGGGGGGCGATGACCGGGCTGCATGCGGCCTCTGCCCATTGTTCCCAAACGGGGGAGTGCAGCCCCTCGGGAAGAAGGAAGGAGATGGGTGCTTGTCTGTTCCCTCTTTTCAGTCAGTGTGGGGGTTCCTGGAGGAAAGAATAAGGTAAAAGGGAGATTGTTGGTGTATAAAAGCGGGGCACCCAGTGCACGCCCAGTTCTCCGGGTCAGTGAAGCTCCCCAGGGCCGAGAGGCGCTGGCAGAGGCAGCAACTCCATCTTCACATCAGGTTTGTTAAGGGAGTGGACACGCCAGGTGCACACTCTTCCCGCAGGCGCCGTGGCATCCTCCTGCCACGGGGCGGGACGGCAGGACGGCAGGACGGAGAGGGCACAGGGTCACCCGCCCAGATAGGAGGAAGATGCCTTGCATGCTTGCTGCCGGCTGGGAGCAGCAGGCCTCGGGGCATAGGGGTGGGGCCTGTGCTGGCCCGAATCCAGCTGGTTCTGCCTGGAGGGTCCAGTGTGGTGGCGCCATTGAAGTCTCACTGTCATCACATCTTCGCTCACTGCCCCCAGTCACTGTGTTGGACTTGCAAGCGATAGGAGAAAGGTCTTCCTCGCCCACTGCCGCCCTTTCATCGTTGGTCTGGTTCAGCGCGGTGGACTTCCCGTCTCGTGGGGTAGATAGAGCGAATGGAGGGGCGCGCCGGTGCTGGCACAGCAGCTGTGCTGGTGGGAGGTCAGCCGCTCTTCTCCCACGCGGGAACAGCCTGGAGGGTGGCTGGGGTTTTCCTCAGGACCGGAGGCTCCGCGCTCGGCTGCTCTCCACAGTGTCTCTTTGAGCTGATTTGCTGTGAACCTGGCTCAGGGGCAGGTCAAGACTGAGCAGGACTCTCCCCGTTTGCCTGCCACCTTTCCTCCCAGTAGATTTTAGTGGCTGTGCTGAGGGGATAGAGTAACATCGCCGTGATCTGAAGGGGGAGGATTTGTTTGTGTCCTCCTTCTATATGAAATGGCTAAACAGGAAAAGAAAAAGAAAAGCCAGCAGGATTTTGGTGTGTGTAAATGAGCTGTGATAACTAACCCAATTACATAGGCTGTTATGATGTCGACACTGTTAATTATTAGCTAGAGATCGTCACATATGTTACTCTGGGCAGAAAATAAATCAGGCCGCGAGCTTGAGGTCTTCAATCAGTCGAGTTTCTTAACAGCTTGAGAGTGTGTGTAACGCCTGTTTAATAAGTAGGCCCTGTCAGTTGGCTGCCAGGACGATTTCCGCCAGGGTTATTTTTAACTTATTGTTATTGATTTTAGAGAGGAAGGGAGAGAGAGAAACATCAGTGTTGAGAGAGAATCATTGATTGGCTGTCCCCTGCACACCCCACACTGGGCATTGACCTGACTGGGAATCGAACTGTGACCTCCTGGTTCATAGGTTGATGCTCAACCACTGAGCCATGCTGGCCCGGGCTCCCCCAGGACTCTTTTTTTTTTTTTTAATTATATTTTATTGATTTTCTACAGAGAGGAAGGGAGAGGGATAGAGAGTTAGAAACAATCGATGAGAGAGAAACATCAATCAGCTGCCTCCTGCACACTCCCCACTGGGTATGTGCCTGCAACCAAGGTACATGCCCTTGACCAGAATCGAACCCGGGACCCTTGAGTCCACAGGCCGAAGCTCTATCCACTGAGCCAAACTGGTTAGGGCTCCCCCAGGACTCTTAATGTCACAGAGGTAATGCCTTCGAAGACCAAGACCATCATTGTCCAGTTCCTTCTGGTCTGGTTAGGGCTTCCAGCCAGCTTGTTTCAGGAGCTGCTGAGAGCTGTGGGGTGAGGGAGGGATGATGGTCATGAAAAATAAACATGGTCAGGAGGGTGTGAAACATCCGTCCCATCTGGTGGTGGTGGACGTGGACAAGCTCAGGTGAGGACTCTGGTGTCAGGAAGGAACCTGGCTCCAGTGTAGCCGGGCAGGGCACGCACTTAACCTGGTCTGTGAAGGGAGGGGGCGTCTAACTCTAGGGCAGTGATGGGGAACCTTTTGAGCTCGGCGTGTCAGCGTTTTGAAAAACCCTAACTTAACTCTGGTGCCGTGTCACATAGAGAAATTTTTTGATATTTGCAACCATAGTAAAACAAAGATTTATATTTTTGGTATTTATTTTATATATTTAAATGCCATTTAACAAAGAAAAATCAACCAAAAAAATGAGTTCACGTGTCAGACCTCTGACACCCGTGTCATAGGTTCACCATCACTGCTCTAGGTCTTGCTTTGAGGAGTGAAATAGGTGGCAACTCGTGGCATTATTAAAACTAACGAATAATTGAGCCAACCTAGACATTCAGTAAGGGGGCTTAATAAGTTCATGGCACAGTCATGCCGTGGGAGGTTATGTAGCCATTAAAACATTTGCAAAGAATTCTCGGTGGCGTGTCATAGTGTTCAAGGAACAATTTGTAAAGGCACAAAGCTAGCTATATCATCTTTGAAAAATCACCAGTGGAATTTTTCACAAAACACATAAAAAGTACTAGTTGTCTTGTTTGCTGGTTTTGTGGGTGGTCTTCAGGCGCATGTGTTTTTGCAATTGGAAAAGAAAGAACAGCACTGGGGGGTGGCGGCGGCGGCGGGGGGGGCGGGGGCTGGAATTCCCGGCCGGCTGTGTGCCAGAGGCTTCACAGATAACCCGCACCTGAGGGTTCAGCGGCTGAGCTGGTTTCCGGGCAGCAGGACTACAGGACGGGGTGGAAGGCTGGGCGGAGGCCCTGGGAGAACACTCCCTGCTTAACCTCGCTGTCATGAGAGTGTCACCCAAGAGGCCTGTGTGATGGGGGAAGACACTGAGTCAGTGGCTGAATGTGACTCATGGAACAGAGCCCTGGGAGGGGCGGGCGGGAAGAATGTCCGCCCTGTGCCTCCACTAGGGGGCAGCAGTACGCCGTGCTTTCCTGGGGCGCGGCTCCCTGGGGTCCCACCCTCGTGCTAAGCATACTTGGGCTGGGGGTGGGGAGCACGAGGAAATGCCCTTGGCTTCTTGGCAGGGCTGCCGCCGCCTCAAGAGGCCTGCTCCACACTGACCCTGCTGTTCCCTCCGTTCAGTACCTTTGTGTTGGACGAATTCAAGCGCAAGTACTCCAACGAGGACACGCTGGCGGTGGCGCTGCCGTACTTCTGGGAGCACTTCGATAAGGACGGCTGGTCCCTGTGGTATGCCGAGTACCGCTTCCCCGAGGAGCTCACCCAGACCTTCATGAGCTGCAACCTCATCACTGGTGAGGAGAGCGTGGGTCTGGGAAGAGGAAGGAGGGCCAGGTAATGCGATCTCAGGCCGAGTGTTCTCCCTGCTCCTTCAGGAATGTTCCAGCGGTTGGACAAGCTGAGGAAGAACGCCTTTGCCAGTGTCATCCTCTTTGGAACCAACAACAGCAGCTCCATTTCTGGAGTCTGGGTCTTCCGAGGCCAGGAGCTCGCCTTTCCGGTGAGGAGGGGCAGGGGCAGGGGCGGAGGGCGTCTAGCCGGGAGGCTGCGGCTGATAGGCGTGGAGGGGCCTCCCGGAGCGGGGACGGCGGAGCTGGCATGTCCCCAGCGGCCTAGCGACCTGATGGCATGAGTCTGAGCTGGGCGTGGCAGGTGTGAGACCGTGTCTGGTAACCTGACCACATGCTTCTTACCTGGCTTTTCTCCGCAGCTGAGTCCAGACTGGCAGGTGGACTACGAGTCATACACGTGGCGGAAGTTGGATCCCGGCAGCGCGGAGACCCAGACGCTGGTGCGAGAGTACTTTTGCTGGGAGGGGGCCTTCCAGCACGTGGGCAAAGCCTTCAATCAGGGCAAGATCTTCAAGTGAACATCGCCCTCGCCGAGCTGCCTGCACCCGCCCTCCCGGCGCTGGGGGTCATTAAAGGAAACTGAACATCAAGCCCTGTGTGGTCTGCCTGCTCTGTGAGGGCGCCGCTCCGGCGGGCGGCGGGGGCAGGCGGAGCCTCGGAGCGGCAGAGTCCGTCCTGTCCTCGGCCGGTGTCGTCGCCCGCCTCCTCCTGTGCCCGCTGGGTGGGCGGGACGTGGGCTTGGTGACCACCTGACTCTGAGGGACCGGGTTCCCCCGCGGTGGGCGTGTCCACGCGTGGAGGGAGCCATGGTGCGCAGTGTGTGCCGTTTCCCGCCGCCGCCCTGCGAGCGAGGCGCTGGGTGCAAGGGGCCAACAGGAACGGGTGTCTGACCGCTGACCGCCCGCGCGGCGGCCCTGACCGGGCTGCAGGCCACCGGGCGGCCCTGCTTGCTAGGGAGGGTTCAGAGGGTTAATGACTTGCCTGCGATGACCTTATTTTTTAAATATATTTTTATTGATTTCAGAGAGGAAGGGAGAGGGAGAGAGATATAAACATCCATGATGAGAGAGAATCACTGATTGGCTGCTGCCTGCACCCCACACATGGGACTGAGCCTGCAACCTGGGCCTGTGCCCTGACCAGGAATCAAACTGTGACCTCCTGGTTCATAGGTCGACACTCAACCACGGAGCCACGCCGGCCGGGCTGTGGTGACATTTCTTAACTGGTAGAGGCAGGATTTTAAACCCCTTTGGTGTCACTAAAGCCTGGAAACACCCTGTTGCGACATAATTGTCATCCATTAATCCTGCTCAAATCAGTGGTTACTGTTTTTTCTTTTGAGCTTAATTTTTTTTAAAGAAATATTATTTATCTTTTTGTTTTTCAACGTTTTTTAAAAATCCTCACCCAAGCCAAAACCGGTTTGGCTCAGTGGATAGAGAGTTGGCCTGTGGACTGAAAGGTCCCAGGTTCGATTCCGGTCAAGGGCATGTACCTGGGTTGCAGGCACATCCCCAGTAAGAGATGTGCAGGAGGCAGCTGATCGATGTTTCTAACTCTCTCTCTCCCTTCCTCTCTGTAAAAAATCAATACAAAAAATATTAAAAATAAAATAAAATCCTCACCTGAGGGTATTTTTCCATTGATTTTTTTTTTTAAGAGAGGGAAAGACAGAAATATCAATGTGAGAGAAACATTGATTGGTTGCCTCCTGCATTCGCCCTGGAGCCTGCAACTGAGGTACAAGCCCTTGACCGGAATTGAACCCAGAATCCTTCAGTTTGCAGGCTGACACTATCCACTGAGCAACACTGGCTGGGGTAAGCTTAATTTTTCTACTCTGCAGGGATTCTTGCCCTGCTCTGCTGGTCTTTTCTGAAGAGCATTGACCTCCCTATGAAGTTAACGGCTCAGGTGAACGTGCAAACATTAGAGTCCGTTTTGAAGCACATGGAGAAACAGTCGTGGCTGCCTTTGGTATTGAGGTTGTGGCTTTCCGGGTGTTTTCTCCCTCCCGTTTAGTCTAAGCCCGGGGTGGGGGGTGCCCTCCTGGCTTAGGAGGGAAAGCGGGACCTTTCCAGGTACTGAGCGGACTGGTGGTTTCAAGGTAGAGCTCCAGCTAGCTGGGATCCGGGACTGCAGTGGGGGTTAGGAATCCAGCTGGGCGAGGATGGGCTGGTTCTTGCTCAGTTTGCTTCCTGGCATCTCATCTTGCACTCGGTCCAGACTTGCTACCTGTCTTGCATCTGAGCCTCTGGGCTCCTCTTGGATAGGATCTGAAAGCGCCGAGTGCTGACCGGGTGCGCCCGGAGCTGGTGGCTGGGGCCTCACTGAGCCTGTCAGACTCCCGTTCCCACCACACCCTGTCCGCTGGTGTAATCTCCCCGCCTTCCCGGCCCTTCATCTTCCCAGGAGCCGACGGTTTGGGCAGGAGAGACCAAGCCGGGCACGTGGGTGTGAGGGGGCAGGCCTGAGAGGCCCAGGAAGAGTCCAACTGGAAAGGGGCTGTGTCTGCCTGGTGAGCCGGACCCTGGGCAACAGCAAGCCTGGCAGTCCCTGTGGATTGGCCGGCTCTGGCCTGGGGGGCTGGGACCCCGCCTCCTAGCCTGCCTGCCCCCCCTCCCCCCCTCCCGTCTGCAGGAAGAGTGACTCATCCACACCTCCTGCCTCCTGTGCCTCTAGCTC